CAGAGCCCACTACCGCCCACCACAGCCCACTACCGCCCACCACAGCCCACTACCGCCCACCACAGCCCACTACCGCCCACCACAGCCCACTACCGCCCACCAGAGCCACACTACCGCCCACCACACCCCACTACCGCCCACCAGAGCCCACTACCGCCCACCACAGCCCACTACCGCCCACCACAGCCCACTACCGCCCACCACAGCCCACTACCGCCCACCAGAGCCCACTACCGCCCACCAGAGCCCACTACCGCCCACCACAGCCCACTACCGCTCACCACAGCCCACTACCGCCCACCATAGCCCACTACCGCCCACCATAGCTCACTACCGCCCACCAGAGCCCACTACAGCCCACCACAGCCCACTACCGCCCTCCACAGCCCACTACCGCCCACCACAGCCCACTACCGCCCACCACAGCCCACTACCGCCCACCACAGCCCACTACCGCCCACCACAGCCCACCACAGCCCACTACCGCCCACCACAGCCCACTACCGCCCACCACAGCCCACTACCGCCCACCAGAGCCCACTACCGCCCACCAGAGCCCACTACCGCCCACCACAGCCCACTACCGCCCACCACAGCCCACTACCGCCCACCACAGCCCACTACCGCCCACCACAGCCCACTACCGCCCACCAGAGCCCACTACCGCCCACCACAGCCCACTACCGCCCACCACAGCCCACTACCGCCCACCACAGCCCACTACCGCCCACCACAGCCCACTACCGCCCACCAGAGCCCACTACCGCCCACCACACCCCACTACCGCCCACCAGAGCCCACTACCGCCCACCACAGCCCACTACCGCCCACCACAGCCCACTACCGCCCACCACAGCCCACTACCGCCCACCAGAGCCCACTACCGCCCACCAGAGCCCACTACCGCCCACCACAGCCCACTACCGCTCACCACAGCCCACTACCGCCCACCATAGCCCACTACCGCCCACCATAGCCCACTACCGCCCACCAGAGCCCACTACAGCCCACCACAGCCCACTACCGCCCTCCACAGCCCACTACCGCCCACCACAGCCCACTACCGCCCACCACAGCCCACTACCGCCCACCACAGCCCACTACCGCCCACCACAGCCCACCACAGCCCACTACCGCCCACCACAGCCCACTACCGCCCACCACAGCCCACTACCGCCCACCACAGCCCACTACCGCCCACCAGAGCCCACTACCGCCCACCACAGCCCACTACCGCCCACCACAGCCCACTACCGCCCACCACAGCCCACTACCGCCCACCACAGCCCACTACCGCCCACCAGAGCCCACTACCGCCCACCACAGCCCACTACCGCCCACCACAGCCCACTACCGCCCACCACAGCCCACCATCCATGACCTCACTCGCAGCGCCACCACGAGACCCACCTCCCAGTCCTCCAAGGGTCACGTGACTTGCTCTCTTAATTCCTCATATACAGAAATCAATTTACAGCAGGAGATTTCCCCGGGTGTGTTGTGTGATGTGTTTAGTAGGGGACTAGGGGCTCAGGGCTGGCGGCCGTAGGGGCTCACAGCCCCTAGGTGTAGGGGGGCGGGCTCCACGACGCACAAGGAGCCCTCACTCGCCACTTTCACCCTTAACATTGACCTCTACCGACGCCGGCGTGAGAGGCGAGGGGCGGGCTGGCACACTGAGGGCCTGTACGCCCCTCTGCCAGAGCAGCTGAGAGGGGCGGCGCTAGGAACTATTTACCTACTGGTGACAGATTAACGTTCGCGGCCGGAAAATTGGTCGTTTCCCATGGCCTTGGCGTCATTAAAGGGATTGTTGGTGTCTCTTTAAACAGCCCTTAGCCCGCGCGGGCACACGCGGGCCACGCGCCGCGGGGCGAGGCGGGAGGCGAGGCTCACTTGTTGACCTGCCCGCCTAACAATGGGATGCGCACACGCCGCCTCCCATTGTCTCTCTGAACTAGTGGCTGCCTGACCCGTCTCTCTCTGCCGGCACCGCACCACCAGGGAGGTACACACCCTGGGGCCACCGCTACACTGGGGAGCACCCCCTTCCTGGCCACCATGTGGGGGGGGGGAAGACACCCATGGTGGCCACAGCAGACCCACAGACACAGGGAAACACCATTATGGCTTGAGAGAAAACAGACCGGGGTTGGTGTGTTTCAAGCGTGGGACAGACACACGCAGACGCCAGTGTGGCTAGCTATACAAAGGAGAGGCCTCCTATGAGCCAATATAAACATAGGTCTGTCTCCCTACGGTAACTACCTGAAGGGGCTGGATTGTCCCAGTCATAAGCCGCCGCTGCTGACGATAGATAAATAGACAGGTAGACCCAAATGACGCCGGGTCTTCACTACAGGTGAATAGACTTTTAAACTACGATAATATATCGTTAACATTACTAAAAGGTGCACCCAGCGGTGCCCGGGTCTCTTGGACCCCCTAGATCACACAGACAATATCAGTAATACACATGTAGTGTTATTAGTTTAGGAACTCAGTTACTGCTGAGTGAACAGAGGCCAAATGTTAAGGCGAGACGCTCAAGATAATCCTCCCTGGCTCGGACTCGAACCCTCGCAAGGTGTGGATCAAGTGGTACCACTGCGCCACAAAGTACTGAACGTCTGCACTTGATGACTACTTCTGTTAATTAACTTATTCCTGCCGTCAGTACCTCTGGCTTAGCGAGTACTCTTGACTTATCCACTAGTACTGTCTCTTCCAACCTAGAAGTACCTAGAAGTACCTAGTAATTCTAGAAGTACCCTAAGCTCCTTTATCCTTTAGAAGTGTGGTTCCTTTTCTAAATAAAGTTCCTGAACTTGAACTGTCTCGTGACTTCCCCTGTCTTGACTACTCCTGTCTATCCATTACTGTCAATTGACTACACCTGGCTTGATGACCAGTAACTGTCCACCGTCCACGTTGTGACGGATGTCAGTAGTGGATGAGCACAGTGGGCGGCACCACCCACAGGGCAGGGCGCTATTAGGGCCGGGTGGGTGGCAGTGGGCGGCACCACCCACAGGGCAGGGCGCTGTTAAGACCGGGCGGAGTGCAGTGGGCGGCACCACCCGCTGGTAGGGCGCCGCTCTGGCCGGGTGGGCGGCACGTGTTGCTGGCAAAGGTAAACAGTTGCGGGCGTGCGGGCGGCACGTGGCAGGGAAGCTCTGAGGGGCGCGTGAGAGTGGAGGAAGAGGGTATAGTGAGGGAGGGAGAGTGGTGGTGAGGGAGGGAGAGGGGTGGAGAGAGTGGATATAGAGGGAGAGGGAAGGTGAAGCACCATAGAGCCCCAGGGAAGGGGCACTACGGGCTCTACAACTCATCACCGGCCGTCAAGGACCACTTACAACTCCCATTTGAAATTCATTCCGCGATTATTGGGGTTTAAGGATTTACTTGGCCCCAAGTGCAAGTTCCTTACTGATGATGCAATACAGCTCCCAGCACACCCGGAGCCTATACCACCACCACCACTCCCACACCCTGGCTATGGTATTATCTCTACCTATCCTGCTGTGTGGATATTTGTGTCTGGTATTCGGGCTTTCCTGAAGGCAATTCTTGTCTGTATTGGCAAAATTAATATAATACAGCGACAATAGAAGACTGGACATCGGTGAGGTATTATATATGGAGTACACCAAGCCAGCTGCTACCAGCCAGCCAGCCAGCCACCAGCCAGCCATCAGCCAGCTACCAGTCAGCCACCAGCCAGCCACCGGCCAGCCACCAGCCAGCCACCAGCCAGCCATCAGCTAGCCAACAGCCAGCTACCAGCCAGCCATCAGCCAGCCAAAAGCCAGCCACCAGCCAGCCACCAGCCAGCCAGCTACCAGCCAGCCACCAGCCAGCCACCAGCCAGTCACTTCTGAAAACTTTTCTTTTCAAAACTGCTCATAGCCTAGTTGATAGTGCCACAGCCTCACACACGTGGGGTCCGCGGTTCGAGACCCCATACATTCCAGGTGAATTGAAGAGCAACATTGTAACCCTTACGGGCTATTCATGCCCGTGCCACCTCTTATGGCGTCTTAATCTTCATCAATCATTGTAACCAGTCAACGTCTGCCTATGATAATGTTAACAAGAGTTAACGACACGCGTCTCTTAGCGTTAGGACAAATAATATTGTAAAATGAACTTTGGAGAGTTAAATTTTTAACTTCCTTCTCATGTGAAGAAAATAGAGAAGATTCGTCCTAGAATCACTGATTTCACCCTTTTGGTCACATTTAAAAATATATATACTTATACATAAAGATTGCTACCAATATATATATATATATATATATATATATGTCGTACCTAGTAGCCAGAATGCACTTCTCAGCCTACTATGCAAGGCCCGATTTGCCTAATAAGCCAAGTTTTCATGAATTAATTGTTTTTCGACTACCTAACCTACCTAACCTAACCTAACCTAGCTTTTTCGGCCACCTAACCTAACCTAACCTATAAAGATAGGTTAGGTTAGGTTAGGTAGGGTTGGTTAGGTTTGGTCATATATCTACGTTAATTTTAACTCCAATAAAAAAAATTGACCTCATACATAATTAAATGGGACGCTTTATCATTTCATAAGAAAAAAATTAGAGAAAATATATTAATTCAGGAAAACTTGGCTTATTAGGCAAATCGGGCCTTGCATAGTAGGCTGAAAAGTGCGTTCTGGCTACTAGGTACGACATATATATATATATATATATATATATATATATATATATATATATATATATATATATATATATATATATATATATATATATATAAATTGTATTAAAAGCCATATTTTGGGATGTAAGTTACATCCTTTCTGAAGGTGCTGTATACAATGTTTGTTGTATACAGTACTTTGAGAAACAGTATAGCTTTCATGCGGATACTAATTTGTTGATAAACATAAATTGGGTCTTTCCTCCGCCTTGACTGTGCCCGTCCTCACTACCAAGACCAAAACTGACGCCTCCACAGGGAACCGTAAGACGGCCAAGATGAAGGCCAAGGAAAACGTATGATGTCTGATTGATAATGCTTTTTTAGACAGGTCTTAAGCCTAACATCATATGATGTTGGCTTTACGCCTACCAACCAGGGGGGGATTATTATCAAGGCCACCACCAGAGCGACCACCAGGTATACAGACCAACTAGATATACAGAGCCTCCACAGACCAACCACCAAGTATACTTTCATTTTGACCATAGTCCAGGATTAAAGTCTACTCGCAGTAAATATACACAGATAGGGGAGGGGGGTAGACCTCTCGGTGTATACTATTTGTATATGCTGCTTGACATATTCCACACACACACACACACACACACACACACACAAAAGTTGCAAAAGTTAGAACATCATTCAGAAACCTAAGTAAGGAGGCATTTAGGGCGCTTTACACTGCCTACGTAAGGCCAGTCTTAGAGTATGCCGCCTCATCATGGAGTCCCCATCTGAAGAAGCATATAATGAAACTGGAAAAGGTTCAGAGGTTTGCAACGAGACTCGTCCCAGAGCTACGAGGGATGGGGTATGAAGAGCGCCTGAGGGAACTGTGCCTTACGACACTAGAAAGAAGAAGGGAGAGGGGGGACATGATAGGAACGTATAAGATACTCAGAGGAATTGACAGAGTGGACATAGACGAAATGTTCACACGGAATAGTAACAGAACGAGAGGACATGGATGGAAGCTTGAAACTCAGATGAGTCACAGAGATGTAAGGAAGTTTTCTTTTAGCGTGAGAGTAGTGGGGAAATGGAATGCACTTCAGGAACAGGTTGTGGAAGCAAATACTATTCATAATTTTAAAACCAGGTATGATAGGGAAATGGGACAGGAGTCATTGCTGTAAACAACCGATGCTCGAAAGGCGGGATCCAAGAGTCAATGCTCGATCCTGCAAGCACATATAGGTGAGTACATATAGGTGAGTACACACACACACACACACACACACACACACACACACACACACACACACACACACACACACACACACAACACACACACACACACACACACACACACACACACACACACACACACACACAACACACACACACACATATATACTTCCATGTTTTGGATAACAGTCCCTGGTAATGATCAACTGAGGACAGGTTGCCCCCTGATCCCTGCACTCAGGGACATGTTGGAGAGTCTTCCTGTCCCTGACACTCACCCGTCTTGAGTACCTGCAGCTCTCACTCTTTTCCTGCACTCACTCACTCCATACATTGTATACACCTAAGTTTGGTCAGGAAGAAAGTGGCAGAGTCGTGTGTGTGTACTCACCTATTTGTACTCACCTATTTGTGCTTGCGGGGGTTGAGCTTTGGCTCTTTGGTCCCGCCTCTCATTTGTGTGTGTGTGTGTGTGTGTGTGTGTGTGTGTGTGTGTGTGTGTGTGTGTGTGTGTGTGTGTGTGTGTGTGTGTGTGTGTGTGTTTGGAAGAGACTGTAGTGGTGAAAACTATGTGGGAAGGCGGAACTCTCTCAGTGTTGATGGACACTTGGCTCTCTTGTTTGACTCTCTCTCTCTCTCTCTCTCTCTCTCTCTCTCTCTCTCTCTCTCTCGTATATTGGCATACCTTCTCTTCCCCTCTTGCAGTTTTCATGTATTCTGAGTTTTTTTGGTCCATAAACCCTCCATATTCCTCTCATTCGTCAGCCTTCCCTCTCCTCTCCCCTCAATCATCACCGACCTTTCCCCTCACACGCTTTCACCCTTCTCTAATTTTTCTTCCCAACCCTGCATTAATTTGCCTCTTCTCTTGCGCCTCCTCGGCCCCTTTATTTTCTCCTCCCCTCTTTCATCTCTGTCACAGTTTGTTTCCCGGCAATACCTTTCTCCCCTTAACGGCTTCTCTCTCACTGTCTCCCCTCACTCTATCTCCCCTTCCTCCCACCTTCATCTATTTTCGCATTATTCAAAATTCTGTTTTTGGCCTGTCTTCTGCTCCTCCCACCTTCGTAAACGTATAATTTTTTTGGGGGGTCAATTTATGTTGACAATATTGGGGGTTTGAGGCGTTTTGGGCGGATGTATTTCTTGGTCTAGTGACTCGTCTAAATATTGTGATGCTCGTCTTCGGGAGAGTTTTTTGTCAGCGTTGACGCTCCGTGTTTTGGTGTGGGTGCTTTACTTGGCACTCTCTGAGGGTGTGTGGGTGTGGGTGGGTGGGGTGTGTGTGTGTGGGGGTGTGTGTGTGTGGGGGTGTGTGGGTGTGGGTGCGGGTAGTGTGGGTTTAGATACAGGTCGGTGCGGCTCCCTCACTACGTCAACGTTATTCCTGTCTTCGAATACTCTGTTCGACCCCCAGCAGGGCAATACTCGGCCCTGCTCGACACACACACACACAGACACACAGACACACACACACACACACACACACACACACACACACACACACACACACACACACACACACACACACACACACACACACACACACAGACACACACATACACAGACACACACACACACACAGACACACACACACACACACACACACACACACACACACACACACACACACACACACACACACACACACACACAGACACACACATACACAGACACACACACACACACACACAGACACACACACACACACACAGACACACACACACACACACACACACACACACACACACACACACACACACACACACACACACACACACACACACACACACACACACACACACACACACACACACACACACACACACACACACACACACACACACACACACACACACACACACACACACACACACACACACACACACACACACACACACACACATACACACACACACACACACACACGCCGTGCCCGACCTCAGACCTAAATAGGCCCGGGCCACGCCCCCCATTACAACCCACGATGAGACACAATGTCCTGTCATCACTAGAGACACATATATGTATCTCATGAGGTGTGCAACGAGTACTGGACAGTAGAGCAGGACGGTCTCGCTTCTTGCAGGTCGGCGTTCAATCCCCGACGCTGCAACGATGAAAATGAGGCCAAGGAATCCCAAATCCTTGTCCTCATTTCTCCTCCAAGTGCTTAATAGTCGTATTCAGAGCTGAGTCAAACTTCCTCAGAAAAGACAACTTGATTGTAAGACAATACGACTTACGAATGAGTAATGCGACTTAAGAATGAGTAACACAACTTAAGAATGACTTGTTTTATACAAAGACAAGTATGAAACCAGTCGGTTGAGACAGCCGGAAATATACCACCGGCCGGATACTGGACATTATTAATTAAGGAATTATCGGATACGGAGATGCTAGTTGACAAGGATATTAAATCCTGTCAAATTCAGATCGCTATTACAGGAATTGAGTGTTCAAAGGTTGAGTGATCACCATCCATCAATCTATGAATGTATATAGTTGAGATGCCTTGCACATTTATAGAAATTCGTATTATACGAGTTTATATAAAAAAATAATAATATGAAAATAAAATAAAAAATATAATATGAATTTATCATAATTAATGAGTCTTATATAGGTCTCATAATTATAATTGTGTCGTGTGTATATCACTGATTTACACTATATTTAATGCACACGTCGCCACAGTAATTTCCATTAATATGTTTGTAATTCATGTTTTAAATCAAAGTACCAGATTCATGTTTTAAAACAAAGTACCAGATTCATGTTTTAAATCAAAGTACCAGATTCATGTTTTAAAACAAAGTACCAGATTCATGTTTTAAATCAAAGTACCAGATTCATGTTTTAAAACAAAGTACCAGATTCATGTTTTAAAACAAAGTACCAGATTCATGTTTTAAATCAAAGTACCAGATTCATGTTTTAAATCAAAGTACCAGATTCATGTTTTAAATCAAAGTACCAGATTCATGTTTTAAATCAAAGTACCAGATTCATGTTTTAAATCAAAGTACCAGATTCATGTTTTAAATCAAAGTACCAGATTCATGTTTTAAATCAAAGTACCAGATTCATGTTTTAAATCAAAGTACCAGATTCATGTTTTAAAACAAATTCCTGTGTGTGTGTACGAGATTCATGTTTTAAAACAAAGTGCCAGTTCCAATTCCAATGATCCTACTGAAATCGCCCTTTAATTGATCTATTAAAAATGGATCTAAGTTATATTCCTGTTATATTTTTAGTGAATTAAGGAAATTCCTGTTTCAATTTTCCTCCGTGGTCATATGACTATACTGTCATATATATATATATATATATATATATATATATATATATATATATATATATATATATATATATATATATATAAATATATATATATATATATATATATATATATATATATATATATATATATATATATATATATATATATATATATAATCTATTATATATATATAATAACAGCCATTTTCTGTTCTTTGGAGGCGGTTACCTTGCGGTGAATCTTTGGGGGTGAGGGAGGGGGGAGGGGGTCAATGTCCCCGCGGCCCGGTCTCCGAGTAGGGCCTCCACGTTAGGTAATTAGGCATATAAGTAATCAGGAAACATCGCATACTACACCAGGGGACATAAACTGCTTTTGCACTGCGTTATTATCCATGTCGCGTGACAATGGAAAATACCCCGGTGATCCGTCTGCGAGCATTGTGGTGTGTGATGAGGATCCCATGTGGAAAGGTACAAAGGTGATTTGTACCTTTGCTGATAGGTACTCTTGTACAGATAGGTACTGATTTGTACTCTTGCTGATAGGTACAAAGGAAACATGTGAGTAATATATATATTAATAAACATGTGATAAACGTGTGATACGTAAGTAATATACATGTGCTAAACATGTCATAAACATGTTATGAGCATGTAATAAAATGTGATAAACACGTGATAAACATGTGATACAAATGCAGTAAACATGTGACAAACACAGTATAAACATGTGACAAACATACTAAACGTATGATAAACATATCATACACATGCAAGACATACGTGAATGTAGTGCCAAATTTATTCACTGTTT